TCTGCACAACTTACTCTCTAGCTTTTACACTAATAAAAAATACCAAGTTCGATGTGATTGACGAATTAAAGCATGAATATTTCCGGAAGATGATGAATAACAGAAATAACGCCTTAAGAAATGTTTCTCTGTTGCTTTCATTGTTTTTAATAGGAATAAATGTTTTACTTGAAATTCCTATTATTCATTTCACTTTTCATAGAATGATAAAAAAGCAGAAATTTCCAGGAGAAGCCGTTCTGTGCAGTTTCGAATTACTCCTTGAATCAACTTTACTCGTTGGAGGAATTGGTATTGGCTTGTTTCTAGGAGCACTGTTGTTGTTTATAGCTCATAGAGAACATGATGAGCTCGCCGGCAAACTCTTTATGTTGAAAAGAAGCGACTTGCATTCACGTGTAAAGCTGAATAAATTAATGTTCCGTCACGATAAACTTTGGACATTTATGAACCAGTTTAACACCAAATTTAATTTTCTGTTTGGTGTCATATATTTTGGTATTCTTTGGTTAACAAGTTTTTGGTTTTACGCATATTTATTTCAAGATCTACCCGATTTCATGAAGAATCCATTGTTAGGAATTATCGCTACATTCACATTCATTTGTATAATATGTGGATGCTTGTTGTGCTCTTTAGCATTCATAGTAATTCTATTGTGTTTACTCATATTACTTATTATTTTTTTCTAAGATTATATTTACTAATTTATTTCCTTTACTTAGATGCAGAATTCCTTTCAAGACATCAGACAAATTGCAGGTTGTGCCATTGAAATCGAACGAAAAATAAAAGTATATTTTTTCGTTTAAAAATATACACTTTTTAACGAAAACTAAAAGTATTATTATTGTTAAGTGTAATGTTTGTGATTTTATTTTGATTGTTTTAGGTTTTAAATTTCATGAAAAGGTTCGGAAAAGTCTCTTTGAGCCTTTCGATAGGAGGATTCTTGATCATCGATAAGAAAATCCCTTTCAAGGTATGATCATTTTAGTATTTATGCGATATTAAGCACTTTCATTATACAAGAATATACTTGATAATTAACTAACTTTTATTTTTCAGATGGGAAAAACATTGCACTCTGCTTTCTCGATTCTCTTAAAACTGAATAAAATTCTAAATCATGAGCGATATTGTGATCAAATATTCGCTACCAATTCTACGAAATGAATTTTTATAATAGTCAATTCTGAAAATTGATCGTAATTATTATAAAAATTAGGATTATTTTAATTATACCTCATAGGTGTCTGTTATATTAGTAAGTATATTCTTTATCTATTAATTAAAAAAAAAGATAAATTTAATGTTCACCTACATTTGTGAATGGAAGAGTAAAACAAATTGTTATATGACAATCACAAAATTATTGTGAAATGATATACTTACAGTATTTACTATAATTATATTTGTTGGTCTTATCATAAAAGTGAGTTGGCATACTGTGCTTTGCATAATAATTTGTAGGGTGTTACATTGAACATTTTATTGTAGAACTGTTTTTCTATAATATTTCATTGCTGTAATGAGAAATAATATGGAAATGATATTTCGAACTGTTATGCACCATAAATAATATATTTAGTGAGAAAAAAAATGTTTTATATTAGATTAGACTGCATTGGATTTGATAGAAGGCAATTCAGCACTCTGGCGATCTACCAAGAAGGACTCCCTCCGAAAAGAAAACACTGTATAGAAATTTATTGCTATTTAGAATTTATACACGTTAAAGTAATTCAGAAAATTCCACTTGGATAAGCTATTTGTGTGATGTGAACTCTTCAATAACTACTATATTCGCAATCCTCTCTTTTGAGGAACTAGTAGATGAAAGAAATCATTTTTGTATTACTAGTAATTTGTTAGGAAATTAAGAAAGAATGTTTAACGCAAAATATAAATAGTTTACTGTTGTTTATTTACCATTACATAATACTGTATAATTATGTACAAAAATATAGTATAGTATTATGAAATAGTTTAGTAATATTTTAAAAAATACATAATAAATATTGTAGTAACATCAATTTAACCTGTATATAAAGGTGTTTAAAACAAAATCTAGTATTGTAAAATTTTTAACTTTTTTCTTGTTCGATTCTTTAATTAATATTATTAGTTTTATGGCTCCAAGACACTGTTTAATTAAACTGAGATAGGACAAGTAGACTAAAAAGAAAGCGAACTCATTCTTTCTTTCTCATATACATATTTTCTTATGAACACGTGTATCATCAACCATCACATGTGTGAGATAAACCGCGGGTCAGGGATCAATCTCCCACTGACCACTTACTCGGCAACAGGTTGATAAAACCCGATCTCGGCGTCGTTGGATGGCTAGGAGGGCAGTTCGAGTGGGGAGGAAGGTGAGCAAGTTGATAGGCGTCCTTTAATGACAGGAAACAGGTTTAAAACTAAACAAGCATTTATTATATACTGAACTAAGCACTACAAGAGTTTAAAAGCGGTTATCTCTACTATTTACATAAATTCGAGCACGAATTTCCGAGTTCGAGAGAGAGCGCTTACAATTCCTATATACCCCAAAATACCTGTCGGTGGCAGGGCGAATTGGCGAACGTTCAGGGTGTGGTGTCTTCCGGTTTCTTCTATTCGAGATCCTCTCTCTATAGCAGGATCGGGTCCGCTGAATGGAGGCTCGGGAGTTTCGGTTACACTATTACTAAGTACAACTTCCTATGACGAATCGCCCTGAGGTTACGGAGATTCGAGCTTATATACTTTTTCGTGCGAGAGCTGACACGTCATCGATTCTTGTTGACGATGACGGTGCATTTTTCACACCTAACTGTAAACTTCCTCAGCGAGTTGTGATACAATCGGTGTAATCTGATCTAGTACAAAATCTTCGGGTTTTTTTCCGAAGTTAATTAACAAGAAAATTTAAATTTTTAAAAGACTCGCAAAAATCCGCGGGTTCACACATGGGATGAAATGAAAAATACGAATGGATATCTAAAATGTTTTAATTACTACTTATAACAACAACGTATTTTCAACATAGTAAATACAAAATATAGAAAATTACATTACGCTAGAAATTTATACACATAAAGGTATTGCATCGCTTTAAAAAGAATTCGGTTAACGAACAACATTTTACAAAACACCGTGTATATCTATGCAAACATAAATATGAATCTACACTGGAAAGAGACTGTTAGAAAATTTATTAAATGTGTTTTTTTTCTTTTAACAAGACCTTTATACTGTATATTGCACGAGCTTTTGGTATTAGCATACATTTATTTTAAAAACTCTAAATTACGAATAATTATTTAAAAAACTCTAAATTTTCAATTTACACGCGAAGTTTTAAGCCATCTAAAATTGAATAAAACTGCATGAACTACTTTACTGCAAATGTTACCTGTGAAATATCAATCACTATCAAGCAGATGGTCAGACTTCTAGGTCTCTGATTCGAATAAAACTCGCTGAGCATGTAGCGGTTAACAAAACAAGCACCTTGTCTAAATAATAGGACCCACTTCTCAATCGTTTTCAAAAAACGGGTTTCTGAATATTTAGTGTTTAACTGAGAAGACTGTGAAAGTTTTACTTCTCTTTGTAAAAGAACATAACCGATTTGTTAAGAAGTTAGGCATGATGTCTGTTCAAATTTATAGATTTTTAATCTATATCATCTATTTCTGTACTAGAGAACATTATTCTACGAACTTCTATATATGACTACTGCTTACCAATCTTGTCAATGACAGCCGCATCCTATTTATTTGCTTCTAAATAAAGTAAGCAACCTACTTTACACTAATAATCTCGTAGTAGCAAGAATTCGGCTTGAAATGCCTGACCTATTAAAGTCGGAAAGTATTTTGACTGCTTACTTTGTTCTAAATATTGTAATGGTGTCTTAAATGACTATTGGCTTAGTCTAAGACTTTCTAATAAAATAAACCATAATAAGTCTTGTATACATACATCATATTATTGTATATCCATTTCCCAAAAATGAAATAAATGTTTTATCGAATGGCCAATAACTGAAAACGAATAGAAGTCATAGTGATCACAGATTATATTAAATTTAAAAGTACGTGCAAACGAATGCTATATAAATAAATAACTAATAATTTTATATTAGCATTAATAACTTTTGTCCATTTTTATATATTTTACTTTTGTTTTATCTTAATTATTGTTTAATTACTTGTATAGTTTTTAATATGAATATAATTGTTAAAAGCGGGTAGAAATCAACTGTTAAAAGACAATTTCTTAATTATATGGTACATAAAAAATTAAAAACAAGTAACATACAACAAATAAAATGTTTATTAAATTGTTTACAGATGTTTAAAGTATACATTTTTGAAATAACTAAGCTTTGTTGGTGTAATTGTTTTCATAAATCTGCAAACAAGTATGCTTCTCGTTGGAAACTGTTCTTAGTTTTATGAAACCAGAAAAAATATGATGTAGGGTACTTGCCATCTGAAAAACATAAATGATTAGTTATTAAATGTTTTCGAAGAAACAGTTTAAAAGAATATAAATGTGCAAATAATATAAATTTTATAACCTTGAGAAGAATTTTCTTATCTATGACCAAAAATCCGCCTATTGAAAGAGAGAGAGAAACTTTTCCAAATCTTTTCATGAAATTCAAAATCTGAAAATATCATTTGCAATGTTAGACAAATTTTTATTAAATTATCATAACAAACTACATACTTGTAACTTTCGTTCCAGTTCAATGTCATTCCCTGAAAATTTCCTGATATCTTGGAATGTATTCTCCATCTACAAAAAATAAATAAAATACAGAAATAACAGAAGAGACAATAAGTTAATAGAGAGCATACAATGTATTTACCGTAAATGAGAGTGTACACAGCAAACAGCCACTTATTATGTAAATACATGTCGATATTATCATGAATATTAATATAACATATTTTACAATATAGTGAAGATCTATGAACAAAAATGCATAATATACAAATGATGTACACCAAAGTATCCCGAAATAACAAAGCCCGATTACAAAATTGCACTTGGTATTGAATTGTTGCATAAAATTCCAAAGTTCTTCGTGATGCAGCATCAATTCGTTTAGCTTTCTTTGTATATCTGTATCCATTCTTTTTATTGAACGCAATTCCGAAGACAAGTGTTCATATTCTTTATAAGCAATAAGGAACAACAAAGCCAAAATAAATAAAGTATAACCGATTCCTCCAAATAGAAAACACGAATTTAAACAAACTTGGATACTACAGAAGAGAGCTTCTCCCACAAATTTCTGTTTTTTTTCAATGTAAGGGTAGAGGAATAAAATTACAAAAATTTGATATAAAACTATAACTAGTGTTACAAGTATAGAAATGAGCAAATTAGCATTTCTTATTAAAATATTGTTCTCGACAATCATTTTTTCATAAAAATACTCATTTCTTAATTGTTTCACCAAATTGAATTTATTATTCTCGATTAATTTTAAACCAATACAATAAACGAATAATATAACAGAAATTATTGTCTTAAATAATGTTGGAGAGATTTTGATTATGTCATACATTCCTAGGCAAATCGCATATTTATCTAATCCCGGGATTGTTTGCCATATGAAAAGAATCGTATATACCTGTAAAGATAGTTGTATTAACTTAATATATATGTTTTTAAATCTGATATTTTTAAATGCCTCCATTTTGCATTTACAGTTACACGTATGAAATAGATCCAATCCATATACCAAGGCAGTCGTCCAGCAGGGACTAATGAAACAACTCATACATATTCCATCCACTGAATTGGAGCTCATGGTTCTTCTGTATTCACGTTTCACAAAGCGAAATATAATGATGTTCTGATTAGAAATGGTAGTTACATAAAGTCATTATTTATGGAATTTGCATAATTCCATTTAAAAAATGAGTTTGTATAAATTTAAAATTTATGCGATAATTATGATAAGAAAATTAAAAATTGATTATCTTAACTTTTGCTTTAAGAAATTATTAAAACGTCAAACATCATATATAAACGTCAATTAATTAATTAATTAAACAAGTACATTCGACCCCCTATAACACTGTTGATTATTCCGTTTTATATGAATTCCATGTTGTACGAGTCACTTAGATTTTACAAATACGTGAGCCGTTCACAGCCCGGCACACGTATTTGTAAAATCTAACGGCAGGGCGCAGGAGAGAAAACGAAAAAAATTTGGAAACAGATTTAGGAAAATGGATTTGTGGAACAGAGGAGAGAAGAGAACAAGGAAGGGACCGACCAAATTGACTTACAAATTTTCGGGTTGAATATAATATTTTATTGTGTAATTTGTTCTATTGTTTTGTTGGAAACATTAAAAACATATTTTGAAGACGATAGAGGTAGGTTACGTCAATCTTAATGGAGTAAAACATCACAAACTTAACATAATCGTTTTTAAGAAGCTATACATGTTACTCCATTCGTTTATCAATAGCCACAAAAAACTTCATTCTATTGTTATAATAATAATAAGTGAGTTTAATTATAGTCTTCTTTAGTAACGTTACATTTCATAAATTTAATGAAATTCTAAGAAAATTGTAAAATAAAAGTGTGCATTACTGTAACAATTTGAATTGTATATCTTACCTAGAATTATACAAACGTTTGATTTATAAATTTTTTATGAATTTCGGCAACGAAATTTCTAATTGATATAAGATTATTTTCATAGTTTTCAGTCTAAAATAATAAACGTCGTATAGTTCGATATAATTATTCCTTTTCCATTTAAAGCTTTATGAGTAATACGCCATTAAAATATATCAAATAATATTAAATGACATTCAAGTATTCAAGAAAATTGTTCAATGGTTATGGTAAAATATTTGAGTTACTAAAAGTAATCAAGAAATATAGAGTATAATAATTCACTTAAATAAACTTAACTAATTAAAAATTAAAATTAATCTGAACTTCACCGTGCGATGTTTGATTAATTGATGAATTTGTGAAGGTAAAGCTTCATTACTTAACTTTCCAATACACCTGCCATCATTAACTCAAAATGTCTAATTTAACTTGACATACTTTTTTGAATGGCTTAGCGGAATATTCAAAATAATGAGTTTACACAAGTAGAATTTATATTCGAAACTTGAATTTAAAACGTAAATACAGCTGGATCGTGAGCTTATATTTACAGATATTAGATATGTTCTGCTTGATTAATTTTCATTAGACAAAATTATTTATTCTACTTGTGAAAGGTGTAATAGAATATGCCAAAATATAAAGGTGAAGAAAATAAATACCCAATTCATCGGATAATTGTTATTGTTAGAATTGTGTACGGTAAACTTCCTTAGTCCGTGATATCTCTTGGGTCATCTCCATCGGATCCAAGTGCCTACAACACAATCAATCGGACAAAAACGAAATTAGCGCTAAAAGCCATTTAGGTTTCTGTGTCTACCTAAAAGACATAGTAGTGTCAGTCCTGATGAACTAATCATCGCAAACGTAATGTCGATCCTTGTGTCCTGTGGTGCAGAAGCAATAGGGAGCGCTCCGGCATTGTCACATAATAATTCACGAGCGAGGAATAGTTTGGGTTAAGGTCCAAATTACAGCCGTTTTCTAGATTTAATAGAACCGTCGTTTTATTAATCAATTTTATAACTATTCGAATACTCACAATATCATCAAGTAAAAATCTTATCAATTGTTTCTGTCAGAATCTCAGTAAAGAAATATTTTAAAAGCTCATTTATTAGTTGTTAAGTTTTATAGAAAACAAATTCATTATTTATAAATTCGCATTATACCTGATAAAGTTAAATATCAAGTAAGCTTATTCAAGTATGCCTATAGCTAATTACAGTAGACCCCTCCTAAAACACGGATTCCTATAATTACGATTCCTATAAGACGGCGAAAAAATTGCGACGGTATCCATACAAACCTGGTAAAAAAA